TAATAATGAACAAAGGTAGAAATATAGTATTTTTATTATTTATTAATGAGTACTAAGTAAATAAAATAATATAATATTACATCTTTAGTGAGAGACAACATTAATACATTCTTCATATAAAGATTTAATTAAATTAATCAAAAGGAGGATCCCAGTCCATAAAATCAAACAAAACATAAGACGAAATCCAAATATAGTTTATGTGGGTAAAAACCCAAAGAGTTAAAGAAAGCAAACACTTTACTAATAGCATACATTAAATAGTACAATCACTATAGATAACTATGATCATTACATGTCATATCATTATTCGTTAAAGGTGTTACATTTATAGTACTAGTGTATTTAAGAACCATTATGACATTTAGCGACAGTGAACCATAATGAGAAGTTTACGACCAAGGAATGAAGATTTAACCAACCACGATAAGTAGGAATTTATATATCACATAAGGTATTTATATCTTATCTAATTTAGCAATCAGTTGAATAAATTAAAATTATGATACAAATATCTTTTATATTTTTTTATGAATTTCATCATACAAAGGGCTTACCTTATAGTTTCCAATAAAATAGACAATTATCTTTCCTTTTTAAACTTGTCTTATATCAATGGAGAAAAATAAAATTAATTAACTACTTAAACAATAAAATAGTAATAACTAATTAGCTCCAAGTTTGGTAAATGAAAACACTCACTTTTTTAAACCCGACCCGACACGAAAACTCATATGCTCTCTGAAACCCTAATGCTTTCTATTGATCTTGCTCTGAAAGAGAAAGGGGAGGCACCGCCTTGCCCTGAAACGAACCGCTTAATGAAGAAAGTTAAAATTCAGCTTGGTGAAAGTCACTTTCTGATGCCTGAGATGCACAGATGGAGACATCGCGAATGGGGGAGGAGATTCGGGAAAATAGAGGCACCACCCTGGTCTGAAATGAGCCATTTGACAGACACTTCGAGTCAGCCTAGTGAGTAGCCTTTCCCGAACATCAATGACACACAGATGGTAGAGGATGCGATGTTATAAAAGGCTCTGGAATGGCTGACAGAGCTTTGTTTCACAACGTCTGCGCGTAGATTGACCACCTGCGAAACCTAAAACTACTGGAACCTCTATTGCAACAAGAAACATTGGCTGTTAAACTCTCCTTTAAAGAGAAACTCCTCAATAGCAACCAGACCACTAGCCACCAGACTAAAATCGAGATCCGAAAAGGAGATGTGATCTTTGATACTGATAATGGAATGTCGAGAGTCAATTTTTCTTAATTAGGTACACAACCTTTTGGTGCAAATAATGAAACTTACGGTGATTATCCATTTTTTGAGGAAGTCAATTGGGTATAAAACGTTATTGGTGAAACTTCATAGCCTTTGGCAATCGTATGATCGGTTATAACTAATCGACCTGGACAACTATTATTACATGGTTAAATTTCAATCGGATGAGGACTACATGCACATTCTTACGGATGACCTTGGGTTATTTATGACCACTACCTCACGATATAACCTTGGTCACTTAGTTTTTATATTGCTAATTAGGATGTGACCAATGTTGTAGCCCGGGTGAGATTTTCGGATCTCTCTATCCACTATTATCACAAAAGTGTACTTAGAGCTACTTTTTTGGGTGATAGGAAAAGTTTTTCGTGTTGACTACAACACGGAATTCGCAGAAAGAAGCAAGTTCGCCTGACTGCCAATAGGCATTAATCTGACCAAACCGCTCATATCTAAGCTTATGTTTGATGGACACTTGCAAATGATGGAGTATGAGGGGCTTTAACCATCTGCTTTGACTGTGGAGCCTATGGACATCTAAATAACCACTGTAAGAAGAATGATATGGCGGAAATTGAATATAACATGGCCTATAATATAAATCTCGACAACTAAAAAAATGTAGCGGTTCCAGACGAAAATTATGGTCCTTGGATATAGGTTCAACGTTAGAGAAGAAAAAGGAAAAATAAATAAAAATAATTTAATGGTAAAAAACACATATGTTTCAAAGAAAAATAATAAAAAATAATCAAGGTTTAATATGATCGCCAATTTTGGGGAGAACTTCTTGGTTCCCAATTGGATGATGAACGTAGACAATTCTCAATAAATACATACCTCAGCTGAAAGGCAATCTCTAAAGAAGAAATAAAAGGTGCTAGTTGTGGGAGGTAATGGTATTTCCTGAAGCCATGAAATCTACCATGCTAGCCCTTGAAACATCCATAAATGGTCATGCAATGCCCATTAATA